TGTCAAAATTCAACATTTTTTTGTAAATGAGAGTTAATTAGTCTCTACTTTGGTCACCGAATACTTGAATTTGAGGCATCAAACTCTTACTACAAACTTTAGCTGACACACGACAAGGTCACAAGCGACTAGTTTATAAAAAAAATTGGGTGAGCAAAAGCATGTGGATGAATGAAACATGCAGGGAATACGCGAATAAGTTATTGATGCCAATACAAAAAGTTGGACATGTTCCGCTAATTGGGTTAAGTTAGCTTAGAAAATAAATTGTCACGTCCAATTTGACTTTCTTGGCTCGAGCGTTTGCAAGTCGACGACCAGGCTTCAATCTTCGCAACTGACATAAAACATCCTTGAGTCTAGACATCGCTAAACGGTACACGCATTTTACACTACTATGCAATTATAGTTTATCTTGACTCTTTCCTGAAACAATTCCTGACTTCTCTGAAGCATTTCTATTTAATTAAACATGCGCCTCCCATACATGTTCCAAAAAACCATATCCTTTAGCTATTTATCAAAAAATATTGCCCCCCTCCCCTGGCGTTGTAATGGTGCATACCAAATAAAGACTCTTATGAACCTTGTGATCCCGTTTCAATATTTCAACCACTACATGAGATACTTATTAACACATTTGAATTTTTGCAAGAACGTTTCTGAACTACAATATACACACTCCTATGCAAAACCCCAGAGACAAAATATTTCCATTATTAGCACTTATTAGCTGGAACGTTCCTAAGAGATCTGCCAATCTCCATGTTAACCAGTAATCAATATATAAATAAAAGGGAATGTGTGTGTCTGTCGCATTAAGTCGGAAAACCTACTCAACCGATTTAGCTGAAATTTTAACTCTTTGTTTTCATTAGTATCGGGAGTAGTTAAAGAGTTGTTTGAATTCAAGGATATGTGGGGGCGTTGTTCATAGCGCTTCACGTTTATGGTGAATTTCTCAAGTCTACTAAACCCTCCCCTAAATAGACACGCTAGGCAACCCGCCGCACCGTCAAGTATTAAGAGCGTTTTGGCTACATATTCTGCCCCTGAGATTATGAAATATCGACTGGAATTTTAAACACACATTACTTGAAAGTTATCTCGTACAAGATCGAATTTTTCCACAATAGCGTCACAGCGAACAAATGCCCAAACTTGAGGGGGAATGTTTTAACATCTTAGATACTTGTAACTATATCCAAACGTGGACATAAAACAAGAGAGTATTTTATCCACTAGAATATTTGCATAGCGTGGCGTAGAACGCGATTAACAATCACATTACCACTAGCGTGGGAAGTGTAAATGAGTTTTTGCACATTCAGGTCAAAATTAAAGTAGTTCTGAACTATGGCCCCAGAGAATGCGCTGAATTACCCATAATGCTACATCCTCATCGTTCCGTCTAGAGTTTGCTACCAACAATTGATCTGGATAATTAATTACATAACCTATATATACATATATATTGATGGTTTATGATTTATTGTTAATTTCATTATGTATTTCATCATGCCCCAAGTTAGGCAGCCATTTGTTATAGTTTTATTTATTAACTAATTAACTTCCACTAATTATTTGTGTTGCCCCGTTAATATTACATTTATTACAATATTGGTTAATATTGCTGTTTCAAACATAACATGGATTTTACAAACCTGGGTTCGACATATAACACTTTACCTTCTTATTTTATTATTATATGTGGACGTGCGATTCTGTACAGAGCCGCGATTCCTGGAACTTCTGCTGTATTGAAAATAAATCGAAACTGATGTACAGTTTATTCCAGAATACAATTAAATTGATGCAGTAGATTCTCACCTATGCGTCCTCCATATGTCCACTAGTCAGAAATTTTCTCATTAATGCTTCCTTATTGCACAAACAAAAATGTCCTCCAATCTTGTTGTTAGGTCCATTCGCATCGCCATTTAATTATGATTGCATCGTTAATTTTAATAAATAACAATAAAATTTATACAAATTGTTTTAAATTATTATTTTTTTTTTCTTTTTATAAATGGTGAGGGATTTCAAGCGTTACGTAATTATTTAGGGGCTCCAAGCGCGCGTTGCAGTTGGTACAGGGGGAGCGGGGGTATTCAAGATGCTACAAATTTGCGTTATGTAATTTTTTGGACGGCTCCTAAGGGCTTCCTCATAGAGCCGGACAGATGAGAGATATCATGATCCATCCGGCAACGATTAGGAAGGAACAGCGAGACGAAGAGGTATTCGCGGCAAGGGAGATATATGGGATATTGATGTACCGACAATGATGGAGATATATTGGTCACAAGACCGAAAACGCAAGTAGCGACTTACAACAGTGGAAATACACGGGGAAATTATATTGTAACACTTTCATTTGTTACAGTGGGTAGGTCTATCAACACATTGCAATCGGATGTCTAACTAAGGTACTAATATTACTTTGAGCGATTCCGATTCAAATGTTGCTTAGATGTGTCTTTTAGGCTTAAAATGTTTCTATGTACTTAAATGTGTGACATCGGATGGCCGGAGATAAATTGTGAAAGGAGATTTTCCTGCTCTCTATTAAATGTCTCATATTTTATTTGTACATATAATCCGTAACTTCCATAGGATGGAATTGTTCCGCATTCTGGAGTAGCCGCGATCTCGTTGTCATATGTCCGTCTTAGTTCATCGCATCGTTTCCACAAATTTGCCATGCGATTGTTCTGATTTGCTACTTCACGAAAGCTAATTTGGCCTTGTTATTTTAATGAGTTTGCATAACGTTATTAAAACTGCTTTACTTCCATATCTCAAACAGATATTTTGGGTTGCATGGAAGATGCCTACTTCTCATAACTCCACTTAACGTGTTCTCAAAAGAACCTCATAGGAACGCTCACCCCCAAAAGAGAACCTCTGCCCCTCCTGCCACGCTTGCGCAGCAATTCACGGAATGGGAGGTCTGGTTCCCAAAATACTCGTAGTTTCCTCTTTCTAGAATTGGCGGATCCTGTAATTTGGTGAAACGTGAGTTAATCCATAAATTTAAAGTGGACCATGGCAAATTTCTCAGAGATCCAAGAAGTCTTCGTAACTCAATGACGAAATACGGCCTGTTCATAGGATAAGAAACATGAATATGGCCGTGACATATCTCAGTCCATCTATTCCCTAATCAATAAATCTATCCTTGAATGAGATTTAAGTTCGTTGCTCGGTGTCACAGCCATCGTACCTGCCGGCGTCCGTGGGAGAGAGAATGGTGCGCAGCTGGCGGTCGCGTCCGGGCGACGCGGGGGGCGACGGCGACAGGATCTCCTCGAAGCTGATGGAGGCGGAGGTGGGGTCGGAGCTGCCGGACGGCAGCGTGGGCGCCGACGACGGCGTCAGCGGCGACCCGGGCGACGGCAGCTCCCGCGCCGGGGACAGCATCTCCCTTTGCCACGTCATGGCGCGCACCCGACCACGGCGAGCGCGCCCGCGGGAGACGCACTATGAAGCACCTCACCCAACGCGAGCGGTTGCTCAGTGGCGTCTCCTGGCAGCGAAGCCCGCGCTATTGTTGACGGCACTGACTATTTGCCTGCGCCTTCTTCTTCTGTCCGGGAAATGTAGCCTCACTAAGCGCAGAAGTTTTTATCTCTCTTTTGCTAGTTTCGGCGGGTATAGAGCCCGGTGCTGTTTTAGCACCACTAGTTTTCTATCTGTATTGAGACTTCATAACACATCCTTCCCTAAAGTACTATTATTATTATTACTTCAAACTTACAAGTATCATGCCCCTTGCGTTGCTCTCTCTCATTATATTAAGCTCTCATGTGGAAAGGAGTATTTTATGGGTCCAAGGAAAATTTAAAATGATGGGCCGATAGACACCTTCCCTATAGGAACTCATTATAGGAATTTCTTATTGTTAGGTTTTGTAAAATATCATGCCCAAACACAGAAAACTTTTTAAATTTTGGAGGTACTTTACGTAAGGTCACTGGAACATATTCAAAATTCTCTCAAAAATGGCTCCAACTTTATTTAAATTTCTTGTAAGAATAGAGCAAAATACACTTACAAAGAAGGCATTAATCCTGATTTTCACTGTTAACTCTTGAATTTTAAAAAAATTGTGGAAGTAAACATTTTTGCAGGGTTTTCCTGCAATTACAACATTGAAAATATTTTATTCAAATGATATTTGTTCTCCGCAATTAGTTCTTTAATTATTAATCATCTTTAAACAGTTAAAAGAAGATTGTGATAAATGATACCCTAGGAACACTGGGTATTCACCCCATAAAATATAAGTAAATGGTGAAAATATACTTTACCCACACAGGACAATGTAGATGAGGTGAAATTTTCGCTAATTCCAGAATTAATTGGTTAATGATTTAGTTATCAAAAACTTGTAGATAAACTCTGCAGTACAAAATATGTTAAAACATACTTCAAACTACAACTGAATGAAGCTATTGGCCACCACGAGATGGCTGGGGTGGGACGTAAAAAAGGTACCAAAAAATTATGATTTCTGGATTGAAAACTTGTTTCCCTCCTTTTCGAAAGGAAATCCTTTGAGTTACACGTTATCACTCATTACTGAGTATGCCAATGGCTTCCGCCAAGTAGGCTCATGTTCATTGTTTTAAAAACTCACCAAGCAAATTAAAATTGAATCATGAAGTATTTTTTCTTGTCGTATCAATACATATTAACATTTCAATACTCCACTTGAACCATTCTGCATCTACCGTTGTTTTTATTCTCGTGCCTATTTATCTATTATGAACAATTAACTTTTATAATTCAAACTTGAAAACATGTTACATAGTGAGTCATACATCATGGTCTGGTGAAATCAGCAAATAATTGTTTCTTTAAAATTAGTATACCTCAATCACTTCTGAAAACATTGAATTTTCCATGGCAATAATGATGAATTGTACTGCTATATAACAATCCGTTAGAACATTTGCAAATCATTTTTGTCATAAAATAATGATCTATGTAGTCTTGGGTAGCTTGTGGCAATTTTATATTTCAAAATACTCACCAGAGAAGCTGCTAGATCAAGCTTTGTGAAACAAAAAATTGGCATTTGTCATTAGTCATCTACAGTTCCCATTGGTGTCTACACAAAGGTTCGCCCTTTTAAGTTACTTCTATACAAGTGCAGTATGTTTCTGCTTGATCCTACACTTATGAGGGTAATTTTGTTTATTGTTTCATTATCACCTTTGTTTTTATTTATTTGATTACTAATTGATGATGTGCAATGATTTTGTTTCTGAATAATACTATGAAGAGTAGACATCATTCTGTAACAATAAAACAAGCTTACTACTTAATTCAGTCTTGTTTGATTTGCAATTAAATCTCAGTTTTTACATACAACTGATATTATATAACATGATAAACAAAACATATGTACAGTCTATGTTACCAGTCTACTAGTAAAATTCATGATGGGAAATAACATGTATTTCAGAATGTCCAGTAAAATTCATAAATCGTGTCATAGATCATTATTTGGCCCACCCATTCAATTATTTACACAATGTGTTTAGAGGTAATTCCTTGGACTTTTAAATAAGACACAATTTATTTGCAACAAAATTTATTCACCTCTGAGACAAATTGATAAAAAGAATTTAATTACATACATAATAGAAAATTAATCAAAAATACATATAGCATATGGATCTTGTGGTATCACCTTCTGTTGCAGAAATAACAATTTCCCACTCTATCACGGGGTATCAATCTCAGTTCAGAGCCATGCTTCAAGAACACAGTGCCTGTGAGAGAAATTCAGTATGCAGAATAAAACAAGTAATATGTACTCACAGAGACAGTTAATTATATACCTGCAGTCTGTTGGGGATTGATGCCTATACCATCATCAGTAATAATAGCTGATGTAGCAGGAGGTACTTTAAATTCTTCAGCAGCAAATTTCAGAACTGCCGTAAATGGTGTATTTTCAGGAACACTCAGCCTGTGGACCAATAGAGTCAGGTACATGTTTCTTTGATTTGACCCTTAGCTAGCACTCAGTTCAGAGCCCTACTTCACACGCCACAGCATGCAGCCACATCTTCCCACAAAGAGCAGCCTGGTCTTGACTGAAGCATTGTCAGCCAAGAAAGAGTACGGGAGCCTACAGGTCCCTCGCATCTACACAACTGCTGCACAAGATTCAATGGGAAACCCAGTTCTTTCCAAGAATATTTAATACCTCCTCCTACCTGCTCACACTGATACTCTGCCCCATTTGCTAAAATTTCAAGACTCTCAAGAAGTGCAGTCAAAAATGTGGGGTAATTCTTAGCAACTGACACCAAAACTACTACATCAGTCGAGTTTACAAGGCACAAACAAAACTCTCTAGAATTTTCTTCTCTCATTTTTGCCACTACACAGTCTATAAGAAGTGTTTTCAGTGAAGTGTTGTCATCTTCTTCATTTGGTTTCAAAATCACTCTAAGAACAGAGCTGACATAAGTAGGATTTTGACTCAAAGTTGAGGTAACCAAAGTTTTCACCTTTGAAGACTGGCCACATTCTAGCATACTGCACCACCCTAAATACACTGCTGATACAAGGCTTGGTGGAGCTGATGCCAAGGTGTGCAACAGTTGACATGATATGCCCTCACGAAGCAAATATACCACAAGTTCTTGTAATCTATCACTACCACAGTAGCGTTCATATTCTGTCACTGCAGTACACAAGTTTCTGCATGTCAGAGATGGATGTCGAAAACATGCAGTTAGAAGATGATCACACGCTTCTTCAAATACTGCAACTTCCGATGGGACATTACGTCCCATTCGTTCCCAATGATTCGACACACTAGTTTGCATTGCATCAATACATCCAGTCTGCTGCAATTTACAATAAAATTTTTCCACAGAAGCCGCCATTGCAAAGTTTTCTTTTATATAACTTTCAGAAGCCTCATCCAATAACGAACTATTCTCACAAAATTCCAAAACTTTATCAAATACTCTCATCAACTCTTCAATTTTGTCCTGGGCGTCGCCCATTTTCTGTATAAATTCATTTTAAACAAGTCTTCAGATCATTGAAGAATTTTATGTCGTACTCTGTACAACCCTCCCCATAGAGTTGAACTTACAGCTCCCTCCATGGGTGAGCAGAGCTCTGGACTGAGTGCTAGATGCTGCCCTGAAGTTAAAACATACTGCAAATACATCCATCCAAACAACACTTACACTTTAAATGGTAGTTTTGGATCCGAGGTAAGCGTAATTTTGAAGGTAACTTTTGATCTGCAAAAAAGAACATACAGGTTGGGGTCAGCATATGCCATTACATAAACGCTACACAGTAATATGACTTCCTTTGTCGTGTGCAGCTTTCAAAAGATATGAATGAACTGTAACTTACGTCATAGTGAAAGAAGACTACAATTAGCGTTTTTCTTTAAAACGATACTAGACACGAGTCACAATATGACAGCAGCTTCAACCTTGCACCACGACACACAGTGTTCACCTATTCCAAAGATTATGAACACAAAATCAAGGAATTTCAATCCGTCTACTTTTCAGAGATGATGCATGAACGAAAATATTCTATATTCCTCCATGGATGATGCACAACGAAATGCATACTTCTTGCTTTGTATGAAGGTCACTTCTAAATTCTCTTTGTTGTATAGAATGAAAGGCGGGCGTTTCGGAGCATCGAGAAAATTCTAAATGATACTAATATACTACCACAAATAGTTCGTTAAAAACATCAATTTGATTTTGAAGGTAGAGAGCAGGAAAGAGTGTCAGCAAACGTCGCCAGTAAGTCATCGAAGATTCAAATGTTCAATTATTGTGTGTATATAACTCGTGAAATTGTGATTTGATCTTGGTTGCCGTGAGCCCACTACCGCGCAATAGGTGAACAAGAATATTTTGAAAGAAAAATGGAAGAATCCTCGGCTGACGCTTTTCACACGGAAGCACTGAAACAAACATTGAAGCATCACTTCAAAGACCCGAAAACCCGCGCCTCGGATGACGCTGCTCGCATGACAGCTCACGTGCTTGAAATAATGACAAGGGAAGCTACATTAAGGGCGGGTAAAGTGGCAGAGGCATCAAATGACATTTGTATCCGCCAGGAACATGTGGAGAAGATATTACCATTACTGATGTTAGATTTCAGCTAATATTATTAGTTATTTCATGGCTAATCATAATGAATATTTGTTTGATTTAGTACTTCAATATTTTTAATCTATTTAATTTGTGAACATTTTTCATGCTCCTGTCGTTCTTTGGAACAGTAGGTGAAGTATTCAATATTTAATGGTGTAATTTATTTTCATAAATTGGTTTAATATCATGTTTCATTAAAAAATCTACCATTCATGAGTAATACTTGATAATTGTATCATTCATTTAAGGAATTTGGTCCTACCAAATCTCAAGAGTTGGGTCATAAAAACGTTTCAATTGTGAACATTTACAAATGGTATAATACTGTAGTATAACTGACATGAAGGTGATATTTAAATTCCTAAAAATAATATCTAGTGTTAACATTAAATTGTGTATTGTGATATAGGATTGTTAAAATTTACATTGAACCATCACAGAATTTATATTTATAAGACTGGCATGATAAGCAATGATTTTCTAAATATTTTTATATGAAAATTTATAAGCAATTTTGTATTATCAAATGTGAAATAATCTATAATCAACTATGGTCAGGTGTTTCAAACAACTTTCAAAAACATTTGTTTTCACTGTACAATAATAAAGATAATGTTTACTGTAAAAACTAAGGCTCAAAACAAGATTGATGATATAAATATATTATGATTAGACTCTATATATTTCAATGATATTTCTGAATTCTGATTGTATAATAGATGTTTTGGTTATTTATTCATAAGCTACATGTAGACTGATATTGCTTTTTATGTATCATAAATTGCCTAGTATGATCTGAAAGGAAACAAACTCCTAAAGTTGAAGAAATATGTTATTAACAGTTAATACATATACTAATAAATAATATTGATAATACTGTTATCAATCAAAAAGCCTTTAGTTGCTTTTTTCTAATGGCAATCAGGAAACACCACGGTTTTGGAACTTATATGTACGGAAAGACAAGAACCTGTTACTCAGAGTGATATTATAACTGCAGGAAAAGACACCTTAAATCTTTAATTATGAGACAAATGTAAGATAGAGTTTGCTTTTTGACATTGTTTCATCATGTTGTATTCTACTCCTCATTTTATGCTATATGAAACCGAGACATAACTAGGTATCCATACAATTCAACAGAACTTGTATATTATCGAGTTCTTGGAAATTATTATTACTGCATAAAGCATGAGAATAAAAAATCCAATAACTCCAATCCTATTGCCTGCTTCCTCATGAAATTCTCAACAGACTAGGTAAAAATAGCCTGCCACAACAGATGTTCTCTCAAGAAGAGAATGGCTCCGTCAGCCACCTCCAGGCGACCTGAGGGCTTCATAATCAAACATTAGAGAAGACCCCTTGTCCCCTGACAATCACAAGTAGTGGAGACTCAATTTAGTGGTTGACTTGCTTCAGTTTCAATAAAACCACTACTACGTGGCAAGAGGTTCAGTGGTAGGAACCTAACTCTTTATAAGTTAAGACGATTCTTAAGTACAAATTCTGAATTTGAAAATTCAATTATAAGGTTTGGGCATTATACAGATACCTACCAGTTTCATAGCTTACAAAGAAAATGCTGATTTTTAGGGTGGGATTTGAAGAAATTTACAAGTGATTCACTTTGTTTTCTGTTATTACTTTCTCAAATTCAGAGATAGATAAGTTATGTAATACCACAGAAAAACCATCACGATTTTAAGTTTTATTTTTCTTGTTTCTCTCCCAAATCATTTGCCCTCAACACTAGTGCCCAAACTACTTGTAGGATGTTTTTCAAAATGAAGATTCCTCGGTCAATCTGACTCTTTAAAATTAATTTTGAAAAACCTTTAAATTTTTGAGTACTTTACTTGAAGGTCCTGGGACATTCTAGAAATTATCATTAAATTTATTGTAATAATGGAGTGAAATGCACATGTACAAATGGCATAGGTCTGATTTTCACGATGGATTTTTAAAAATTCTAAACGTTTAAATAGTTTTCAGTGTCATTCCTCAACTACAAAATTGAAAATAAGGCATTTTTTTTCTTCAAATACTCTTTGTTCTTCATAATTAGTTCTTTAATTAATGTAATAGGTTTTTTAATTTTAACATTGTGTAATTTTGAGTAAAATATGGGCAAAATTAAAATCCAGATATTTTTCAAAAAAGGCTCCAATTTTTTTTCTATGAGTGGTGCACAGTATATGATGATATATAAGTGATTTTACTATATTCTTTTGGTTTAATAGAACATTCCTTAATCATATATTACAACATGGACAAACTAGAGGGCAAAGATCGATCATTGCGTATATTATGACCAACCGAGAAGTACACCCATCCCAGATATTGAATGTAAGGTGTCTTCCTTCTGTGGATATCAGAAGTGCGCTTCTCCTCCTAAAACTAAGGACCAATTTAAAAGTGAAACTAATGGAAAAGTTGATGATTCAAAAAAGAATTAACATTCAGTCACTAAATGAGGAAACTACTAAACACTTATATAAGAACAGATAATATGAGAAAATAACTAGTAATAAGATCCAGGATCTTAAAGACATAGAATCCTTGCAAAAAAGATAAAAACTAATATTTTGGCCGCAGCAGAAGAAACCACTGGGAAGGTAAAGGTTAATACAGGAAGAATACAAAACAAAAGGACACCTCGAAAGTCAAGGAACCGGCATACTGGAAAAGAGTTGCCTATATCAGGTACATGGGTTGCTAGTACAAGCAACATCAGTGAACACAATTTTATCAAGAATACAAAACCATTAGGAACGAAACAAATTCAAAACTCACAGAAATAAAGAGAAGATATTGGGCCTATTTCTTGGCAAGATTATATCACAACTTTTATGGACTTCAGAAGCAATTGTGGAGGTTCATTAGGAGCCTGAGAACAGAAACTAATAAGTATATAAGAACTAATACAATACCAATCCAAGTATGGGTGGAGTATTTTAAAGAATTATTCCATGAGAAAGTTGGAAGTGTAATAGACCTTGCAGAAACAGGAATAGAGAATGCACCATTTCAGAACAAGTGAAAGAGATAATTACGAAATTGAAAAATGGTAAATCACCTAGGAAGGATGGTGTATACAACGAGCTTTTAAAGTATGGTGGAGACATATTAACTGAAGAAATAACTAAATTAATGATGAAGATCTTGTACCATCATAAGATACCCAAGGATAGGAAGACAAGCATCCTCATACTGTTATTCTAGAAAGGAGACCAACTTAACCCTGATAAAAACAGAGGAATAAATCTCCTAAGTTCCACACTCAAATTAGTGGCGAAACATTTGGCAAACGATCTGGACAGCATGATAGAGAGGGAAGATCATCAACAGGGATTCAGGAGAGGAAGATCCTGCAACGATGCAATAAACATAGTCAGCTGATAGAAAAGTCTTTAGAAATAAATAACCCGGCATTCTTAAGCTTTACAGATCCAAGTAAAGCATTTGATAATACACATCCAATAGATGTCATCACAGCATTGTGGGAAGGAAATGTACCATACAACCCCATTGCTTTATTACATGATATATATACGAATAATAATATTAAGATCAAGGATAATGCAATATTATTCTCTTCCATCACAATATCGAAAGGGATAAGACAGAATGACTCCTTTTCTATTAAATCTAGTAATGAAAAAGATAATCAATCAATTAAAACTAAAAAAAGATACAGAATGGGGAAATATAACATAAACATAATTGGATATGCGGATGATGCAGCATTGGTAGCTGAAAATGAAGATGGCCTACAGTGCCTTCTCCATGAATTTAATGAAATCTGTAGAAACTATAATTTGATGATCTCCATCCAAAAAACTTAAAGTATGACAATAGTGAAAGATCCTATTCAGTGTAAGCTCTTGGTATATGATTGACCAATTGTGCAAGTGTTAGAAACAAAATACTTGAGGATAGAGATCACAAGCTCAGGACAGATGAATAAGGAGTTAAAAGAACAAATCATTAAAGGAAATAGAATTTCCGGCTGCTTAAGTTACTCAGCATGGTACAACAAATATTTGAGACAAGACTCAAAAATAAGAATATATAAATCGGTAGTTTGACCGATTTTAACATATGCAGCAGAGACACAAGGTGAAACAAAAAGCATACAATGTCCTCTAGAAGTGTCAGAAATGCTTGTGATGAGGAAAATTTTAAACAAAATGTACTTGGATAGAGAAAGAAATGAAATCATTAAACCATGTGGAAGTAGTCCCATTTCCAAATAGATAATATCACGTAAGAGAGAATGGAATTAACACATTGATTGAATGCATGAAAAAAGGGTCTCGAGAGATACTAGACTTGAGGGCAGAAGATATCCCGGAAGACCAAGGCGACTATGGAACAAAAGAATCCAAGAAATGGAATAGCCCTATGGCTTACTAAGAAGCAGAAGAGGAAGAAGATGAAAAATTTGGAAAAAAAATCCGAAATTCCAATATTTACGGGTATAACATTTACTTAACAGTGTATTTGCTTGACGTATAAATTGTACGTGTAAAACTTCAGAAAAAATTAAGGCTGCAACTCTATACTTACTTTGAAACAAAAAATCGATATGAAAATTGAAATTTGTTCGTTTGGATTCGATAGTTGTGCTTACAAATAATACCCAAATAAAAACATATTAGGCCGATAAATATCACTTGTAATTTGTAGACTAGAATTTTCTGAATCCAATGCATTTTTATTTAAAAAACTACAACTAGCGCTAAGTAATTCA